AATCAATCTCTCCTATTTTCCTGAGCTTTCTAACAAAACTCAAGAAAATTCCATCAAAAACTATGAAGAGTGTGACCAACGATTACTGGCATTTCAGAGGTTTGGTGGATGGCTGAGTATGATTTCCAGGTGTCAGTGCCAGGTTTAAGTATGCTGTGTTTATCTCCAGGACAAGAACAAATTACATAAACAACTAAACACTGCTACTCCGATTTTTCCAATTCTGCAAAGTTCCTTAGTTTTCACAGTGCCACTCAGCATCTGTTGGGCACAGAACTAAGGTCTTCTGGATGTCAACTTTAGCACTGCAACTTCCAAAGGAATATAGCTCATTGAACACAGGGGCATTTACTTCTTAGCCTGCATAGTATTGTTCATTTGTTTACGTATGCTCTGCATTGCAGCCCAATCTTCAGAATACAAAACTGACTGACCAACTGATTTTGGCCCATTCCTGTATGTGAGGGGTGATCTGACCATTGCAGATCCAGCTGTTGTAAGATCCAGGTCAAGCTTTGCTCTGTTGCTTTTTCTGCTAGTTCCTTAGCATGTTATGGACCAAGAACACCTTTAGAAACAGATTCGCAGATCCTGATCTGTGGACCACACCTCCATTCAGATCTGTGGAAAGGCTACTGAATGGCTGAGAATATCTGCACTTGCTTTATTTATTTATTTTTCTGATGTAGTTTGGGGCAATTTTGACCAGGGCTAATTATTAAACAAGCCTGTGGCCTAGAACCCATGATTTCACCATGTCAACATGGATTTTTTTCAAAGTCTAATTTGTGTGTTTTTATTTGTAGAAGAAAAGGTGTTTATCACGGATATAGTCCTGTGGTCCTGGGAACTAGACCTATAGGAATACTCCAGATGGCCACTGTGGAGTCCCATTGCAGCAATCTTCCCTTGACGGCAGTGCAAAGTTCTGCCAACATGGCAGCTCTCACAGCGGTAAGAGCAAAAGGCAGGACTATAAAATTGATCAGAGGCAGCTTTGGATCTGCCAGATCCAAAGCTCTCTCATTCTTTGGACAAAGAGGAAAATATGACAGGTCTGGATCTCAGAGAGTTGTCTCCCCTTGTATCAGAACCAATGGAAAGGAAAGGAGACAATTTGTCCTTT